TACGCGCGTATTACTTGTTCCAGTTCCGAACAAGACTTTTTATTGTAAAGTAAATTCAAGTCATTGACAACCTTTTGTGCATGGGTGGATTTTCATTGAATGAATATCAACACCAGTAATTTGATTTTGTAAACGTGCATTTTCAACCAATGGGGAACATGATTGACTTTGTAGCTTAAAACCGCGGAAATATTTGATATTTTAAAAACAAAAAAAAAATCATTTTAATTAATCAGAGTTTCAAATATCAAACCCTCTTAACCCTCTCGCGATGACCAAGAACAATAACGTCAATAACGTTGATAAACCAATCTTTGAACAAACTATTTACGATCCAATTACCCATCGTCCTGTTTTTAAAATTGTTATTAGAAAGAAGGGATTGGCCCATGTTTCATTGGAATTGTTCGATGGCATCAAGATCAGAGTGGTTGTGGTTGATGCATTGCAAAACAGATCAGGCTGGTACATGATGAAGAACAACTTTAGCGATAACAAGATGCGTGCTGAAATGACAATTTCCAAGATACTTGGTGCTTGTCAAGTTAAGTGCCCAACAAAGGCAGTGGGTGATATTATTATTGTGCTCCTTGGTCATGTTATCAAGTTGAAGACAAGGCTGGCTGTGGTCAGGAATAATTCTAATTTATCAGTGGTTCAAGCCATCTATTTGAATGGTGAAGATGAACCTCTATGGATTGCTGATGATGATGAAATGTCAGAAGAAAAAGAAGAAGAAATTAATGTTGATGGTGGATTGGAACCTGTAACAACAAACAGAAAGAAAAGAAAGCCTAGAAAGAGAGCTGCTGCTTCTGCTTCCTCTAGTTCCTCTGCTGAAACGATGATTGAAGATCAAGAGCCAAAATCTGGAACTAAAAGAAAGACCAGTGAGAAGACTAAACCAAGAAAGAAGAAGGTAGTTGCAGCTTCCTCTTCTGGTGATGATACAGGTAGTATTCAATCTTATAATTCTCAAACACTTTCTGGAAACTCTTTGTCACCACTAGTTCCTAATATTATTACACCACCAAGTGTCAATCCAATGCAAAACTTTGTTCCAATGACACCATCTGCTAGTACACCACTAACTTTCAATACGGTGATGCAAAATTTCATCCCAACAACCCCATTAATGGATCCAAGAATCCCGAATTCTACGTATCCAACTGCCATGTCTCAAATGGCTGCCAGTAGTGCACCACCAAGTCCAAATTCCTTCCCAAATCTAATTTCTTCGCCTCAAAGATTGTTCGAAGAATGTATTACTGACCTATTAGCATATGATCCCAATCAACAAGACGAAAGTTCTAATGGTAATTTTCCCCTTAATTCAGACTTTGATTTTTTGTTTGAACAAGATGATTCTAACTCAAACAGTAGAGAACAAAATGATTATTTTTAGGCATTTTCTTTGAAGTATTGTCACAAGACAATACCAAAGACAGCTGCGCTAAATAAATCACTTATATATATTTACATTATTTCTAATATTTTATTATATCAGTATTAAATTACAATTTATTAAATTTATGGTTGAACATTCCAATCATTCTTTTCATCCCATTCTCTTACTCGAATTCTCTTTTCTTTTGTCAAGTTGGCTCCTTTCAATAGAACTGTATTAACCAAATTAGATTCCTGACTAAAGTCACGAGGTCCATAATTGCAGGTAATTGTGTTTTGTGGCAATAAACCCATTCTAAGATAGCATTCAGCCACAAATTCAGAACAGAATACATTAGCATCATTGGATTGAGTATTTCTCTTAATGACACATTTCAATAATTCAGATTTTGAAGTTTCGTATTTCTTATCAATGGAAATCTTCAAATAATCAACAAGTGTTGGGAATTGATCCACAATATTCTCATCCTTTGGTCTATTATCCATTGAAGGAATGTTCAATCTTCTCAAACAACACAAATCAGTTGGATCTCTTTCCAAATAATCCATAAACCACCTTCTCAATTCTACTAATTGAATTCCACCACCTTCCTTATTGTCCACAGTATCAGTTTCAGATTCTGCAACAAAAACAGTTGAAAATCTTGATGAAGCATCAACTTGAACCTTATACAATTCCAATAATTCTTTCGGTGGATTTCTAATAATAATCGACAAGTGAGACCAAGTCGATGAAAATCCCAATTGAATAGCTTTTGAGAAAGTTCCCTTTCCAGAATGCAACAAGACATCACCAGTTCTCAATTCATCATAAATATCCTCCAAATACTCTACACCAAACAAGTTATCCAATCGTTGAGATTCCTTTTCTGAAATATTTCCACTCAAAATTGATTTTAAACTTCTTCCTCTACTGGCGAAACCTCTTCCCTTCTCATTCTTGTATTCATTTAAAAAGTTGGTCAAGTCAATTTGTGGAATATTCTCAGAGAGTGAATCAAC